ATAGATAGATAGATAGATAGATAGATAGATAGATAGATAGATAGATAGATAGATAAACAGACAGACACAGAGACAGAGACAGAGACAGAGAGCACGGGAAAAAGGTGCGACAGAGAAACAGAAACGGGAAAAGGAAGTGAGGGAGAGAAAGAGAGAAAGAAAGGGACAGACAGACAGACAAACATCGAGACGTACATAATATACAAAGTGACAGAGAGACGGTCCGAAAGATGGAAAAGTAGGGAAGGATTACAGAGAGAGGGAGTGGGACGGAGACTATTGCAACATTGCTAAAACGCCCAAAGCGCTAAAACACACTGTCAGTAAAATGTCAGAACAGATAGCCAAGATGACAAGCATAGATTCCTATAACAAAGAATGTTGGTCGGCACTGATCACAGCAATAGGGAGAGCGATCAACCAGAGAGGATTCTACGTTCCGAGCATTTACTTCTCCCTGATGGGATAATATTATTGGTATGGCTAGGTTGTTACTGCTTTTCACTCTAAAATGAACTGGTAACTATTGTGACAAGATAGACGTTCCCACGTCTACAAATAAGGAGAAAGGGCGGGCGCTGATAGACAGGAGAGGTGAAAAAAGTTCCCCTATATTGACTAAAACAACTAGATAGAAAGAAACGTCACAGACAGTTTCAATTTACGCCACCAGTGTACGGGCCAACAAAATGCTTCAGAGTAAGAGTTGTGCTTATTACGCTCTATTTAGAAAACAAAAATAATATTATCTGAAAATCTGTAAATCGTCGAAAGCCTTCAAAATGCCTGTCTCTCCGTGCCCTACTACTTAACATTTGTACTAATGAAAGAGACAAGTAACCTCATGGATGACCCCTGAGAAAGCTATCGGAAAACTAATGACTGCGGATAATGAACTCTTAGCAGACGATAACCCGGGGAACTGCTGAAATTACCCCCCCCCCTTTCCCTTTTACTCCTCCTCCGGCCTTTTCTTCCTTTTTAAAAGTTTCGTTCCCGGTCTCAGAAATGTTCCTGCTGATGATCGACTGTGTATTCCAATAAAAAAAGAAGTAACGCAAGTGCTCATTACTGCTGATAAATTGGCTCCACTGACCACGTTCTCGTAAACCGAACAACTAATTTTTTATGAGTGCACACAGGGCTGGATCAAGGAACTAGAAGGTTTCATGCCCTAAGGTTATATACAGAACCCAAGGCTTGTATTGTCTCGAGTTTCATACCTTGCTCTATCTTCCTGCGTCCCCCTATGACCAACATTGCACGGTTAAAAACTCATTATAACTGTGTGATCAGGGAGCTAGGAAGTTGGTTTGTTGGTGGTTTTGGAAACCATCTGCGTAAAACATTTTATATGAATTCAAATACTTCTTACACGTGGTATTTCGCAACCCCAGAGCTTTCTTGTCGTATCTCCATTTTTAATGACAAATGAAAACAGTCCATAACAAAGAGTGAGCTTAATAAGATGTCACATTTTCACTGTTTAAACAAATGGAGATACGACAAGAAAGCACTAAGGTCACGATTTAAAAACTTTAAGCTAGTTTTCAACTTAGTTCTGGGACAAATCAATGCCTAAATCAGCTGCTCATCAGAAAACCTATCCCTTCTTTGATGAAAAAAAAATCCTGGTCAATTCAATGCAGCCAAACGTGGATCTCTGCAATAAGATCACCATCTCCAACGTACGTTTTCTTAAATTGTTTAAGACCAGAAAAAAATGGTAGTCTAGCAGAGGCAGGATAATGACTTCTAGCCGCACCCAGGGGTCAAGATGTAAGGCGATATCATCATGAATGGAGAAACGTAGTCATTTTGAAAAAAGAAAGTATTTGTCAGACAGAAAGCTTCTTCAACTTCAGTAGGTGTTTCAAAATAGTTAATTACATTGACTGTCTGTTAAGACGACGGAATACTTATCTTGAGTCGGCCGGCAATTATTATTTCTTTAGCTACAGTTTCTGACTTAGAAGTTTGCAATCGCTCTGCCAGTGATTACAGTGTTCGCCTCTCATTCAATAGGTCCCGGGTTCGAGACCAGACAGCGAGGGAAATTTTTCTTCTCTAAAATATTCTCCTCTCATCTTCTTTCCTGTTTTCCAACCATGCTCTGTCGTCTGCTTTCGTCTCCACTTTCTGCCCTCCCCCCTCCCTTTACCTCTTCT